GCTGGTGCCATTTTGGGGCTCAGGCCATCTGGTATCCAGATAACATAATAAATTTATACTCCCTTTTGGGCTCTTGTGTTCCTCCTTTGGCAACCCTAACAGTAGTTTAGCTTCCTCTTTATGATTTCCCTTATCTGGGAAGGGAGCTAAAAAAAAAAGTTAAGGTGACAAGGAACAAGCAGTACAGTATCTCAGTCTGGAGTTTCAGATACTGTATTAGAGGTGAAGAGGTGACCCTGAATTTAAATCTGTGAGGCTGAGGCTACTGTTCAGAAGTGAGGGGGAGATTCTTCAGCTACTGGGTTTTGAGAGCAACTGGAATGTCACTAGGTCTCTGATTTTCATTGTGTTCCAGTTAAAAGTATAGGAGCTTAACCATTTAGAGGTAAAAAGCCAGAACAGCATCAGGGTTGGGGGCCACAGGAAATGTGGGCACACACTATAGTTTACAGACCTTAAGTTTTTAAAAAACAATATCCACTCCATTTTTTAAAAAAGAGGACAGGAGTGTTGCAGAGGCTGGCCCATTCTAATGAGAGGACTGGCTGGGTGGAAGGGAGGTCTCATGGATGGGTATAGGCTTAGGTTTTGTGTCCAGTTCTCCAGTTCTGGAGAGCCTGGATTGGAGGCCCTACCTCGCCTCTTGCCCTGGGGTCTACCTCAGTCCCGCCCCTCGGCCTGGCCCCACCATAAGCCCCGTCTCTCTGATATTCAACTAAGCCCGCCCCACTGACCAGGTCCCGCCCCACTGACCAGGTCCCGCCCCACCGACCTGGTCCCGCCCCACCGACCAGGTCCCGCCCCACCGATCAGGTCCCGCCCCACCGATCAGGTCCCACCCCACTGACCAGGTCTATCCCACTGACCAGGTACCGCCCCACTGACATCCAATCCCGACTCCTGGGCTGATCCGGTCCCAGGACCCATCCATGTCTCTCCCGGCAGAAAACTGGCAGCTGGTCACTCAGAGCTGGAAGCACCGCCGCCCCGCTCCTTCCCCCCCGTCCCAGGCCCTCCGCCTCCGGGACCCCATTTCCCAGCCCCGGAGCCCCCGCCTCGGTGGCCGGGAGCGGCGCACCGTCCGGAAGCCGATGCTCGCTTCTGCGCGTGCGCGAGCGGCCGGCCGGTCTCCCCGCACCCTCCCCCCCGGCGGCGGCGGTCAGTCTTCCCCCGGGTCCTCGGCCTCCGCGGCCTCGGTCCGGCCTCCCCCAGGCCCCCGGCGTCGGGAGCGGAGAGCTCGGCCGCGGGGAGGCCAGCGATCACAGGGGGGCCGCCGCCGGCACCCCGCGCCCGGCCTCCCGCCGCCGCGCCGGTTCCCGAGCCCCGGGTTCCCGAGCCCCGTGCGCCCGGCTCGCGGCCGGCTGTGAACTCTGGGCTGGGCCCAGCGATCGGAGCGAGAGCGAAGTAGATGGGACGATCACCTTCTTTTCATCATCCTCCCAAGGCGCCCTGTGCTCTCTTCCCACAAAGAGGAAAAGCATCCCTGCCGTTGGGGTCGCGGGACCAGAGCCTCCCCTCGTGGCCTCCGCGCTGATCCGTGGACTTCGGCCGCGGCGTGTCCGGTGAGCGCGGCTGACATTGGCCTCAGCTCCGTCCCCACCTCCCCCTCCTCGTGCAGGAGAGAGTATTAAACCTTAGTTTTACCCCGCCCAGGCATCCGGTTGCTACATGGTATGTAATGTGTGTTCTGCCGAAGCCAGCACAGCTACATTATATTCCGGTGCGTAAAAGTGAACGGATTATCAAATGTCCTCATGACCCTCCGCGCCGAGCAGCTATACATTTTAATCATCTGTAGATTTTTATTTGAATTTCACACGCAAAGTGTGGCTAACTGTAGTTTCATCCTCTCCCACCTCCACTGTACCTTGTATTTTTTATTTATTTATTTATTTTTTTACTTTATTGTACTGCCAGGACCTTCATCCAGTTCCATGTAAAATAGCATGGAATTTGTATCCTGTCCTTGTCTCTTATCCCAAAGGGAGTTACTCTACCCTTAAGTAGGATGTTTACTGTAGGTATGGGTGGATTTTTTTCCCCCTAGTAAAACTCGTCCCCTTCTAGTTCTTGTGGGTTAAATTGTTATCACCAATGAACATTGATATAGATCAGTCACTAGTTTGTATCTAGTAAGTCAAACCATGTATAATCTTTTTATGTTAATGTGGTAAATTCTATTAGTTGATGATTCCATTTTCAGCCACATTTTATTCTTAGGATGAAACGAACTTGGTTTGTGATTAATGTCTTTATTTTTCATTTCTTGACTATACTAATATGTTATTTGCACTAATGCGTATGATATCTTTTATTTTGTTTTGTATTTTTCTGGTCTTGGAAATACTGGAGAAAATAATCCCACCCACCCATAGAATTTTGAATATTTTACTTATTTGGTGAGCTTGTTGGTTATACAATTTATCTCTTACATGGGTGTGTTTTATTTTTTATTTTTCATTTTAAAATATTTTATTGATTTTTTATAGAGAGGAAGAGAGAGAGAGAGAGAGAGCGAGCTAGAAACGCTGATGAGAAACATCGATCAGCTGCCTCCTGCACACCCCCTACTGGGGATGTGCTCGCAACCAATGTACATGCCCTTGACCGGAATCGAACCTGGGACCTTTCAGTCCGCAGGCCGACGCTCTACCACTGAGCCAAATCGACTTCGGCGATTTCTTACATGGGTGTGTTTTAAATTGGAGATTTTTTTTCTTTAATGATTGAATATAATCAAGTTTTATATTTATTTTAAATAATTGCTGGAAAATTGTATTTTTCTCTTTCAAAATTTATTCTTTTAAAAAAATATTTTATTGATTTTTTTTATAGAGAGAAAGGGAGAGAGATAGAGAGTTAGAAACATTGATCAGCTGCCTCCTGCACACCCCCTACTGGGGATGTGCCCACAACCAACTTTCGTGCCCTTGATTGGAATTGAATCTGGGACCTTTCAGTTCGCAGGCTGATGCTCTATCCACTGAGCCAAACCGGTTTCTGTTCAAAATTTTTTCTTTACCTGTATGTTTTCATATCTCTTCCCTTAGTTTTTTTTTTTTTTTTGTATTGTTTTGTTATAATCTCCCTGGTAACATCTGTAATTATGACTCATTTGTAACTTCCTTTATCTGTGTCCTGTTGTTTTTAGAATTGCCATGGGTCTATCGACAGATTGCTACCTTTTCTGATTCTGTTTATTAGTTTATTAAAGTATCATTAATTATGCCTCATTTTCACTTTTCTTTCTAACCCTTTATATAATTCTTTTCCCAACTTTGTTAGGTCTGTAGTCAGTAGCCTATTGTAGCCTATTGATATTGATACTGATATTTTTCTTCTCTGGGAATTGATGGTATTTATAAGTATAAAAATATACATACCACACCAGCTATGGATTTCCATTGTTATCTGAAACAGTTATTTTAATTTTCTGCTTCTATCCTGCCATATAGTAGCACCGACTCCCTAAGATAAATATGTGTGCATCTCCTTATTCCTGCAATGTATTGCATTTTTATATAGCGTATACCACTACTTGATATTTTGCTAATTTACTGCCCTCCCTTAAAATAATTATGAAGTTCATGTACTTCAGTATTTTTCTGTTTTGTTCAGTGCCGCATGTCCCGTGACTGCATGTGATAGAATCAGGGGAAATATTACATAAACAAATATGCAATGAAAGAGCAGGCAGTAGGGGCCTTAAGAGAAGCATCCTTGCTCAAGACATACTAGGTCTTAGTCAAGAGAAGGAGCTCAAAGATAAAACCTTTGAATAGACTACTTCATTTGTCTACTCTGCACAGTGTGTCCAACAGGGTTCTAGGCCAGACCCTGGTAATGTTACAGAATAAGGGCCTCTCTAACAACGAGGTTGTAAGATATACGTTCAGAAATATACTTATTGGCCATTTGGACTTGAGATAAATAGACCTGCATACACACCCTGAGAGGGCAGCTTTCTAATTGGGTAACATTGAGTGCGTGGTTAGTGGTTAATTGACTCTAAGATTTCTCAGCTATAAATTAGTTGTAATAATATCTGATTTGCAGAGTTTCTATGAAATATAAATAATTTCTTTTCAAAGATGTGGGCATCTTTTTGCAAAGTCTCACATCATGGTTGCTCACATGGAACATATTATTAATATGGTAAAGTCTGTGGTTGACTATTCAGTACTGCTGTGGAAGAAACAGCTGTGTTTTCATTATTGGAAATTTGCAAAGCAGCCCTGTAGATATTACTATCAGAGATGACACACATTCCTCACTTCACGTAAGTATTATTTTCTGCTTCTGTACAGGCAGCATTTAGCATGAGGATGATAGCGTGGGAGTCTTCTCTGCTTCCTTGTGTGGAATTTCGTTAGTTGATTCTCTCATAAACCAGGTTTCAGGGATCCTGCAGCCCATGGGAGGGAAGGTCCATTGATCAGGGGCTGAGCAGGAATGCCTGTTAGCTTGCCAAGGGGTGCAGAAGTAAGGAATATTGGGAACGGAGCACCCAAAAGTCTGGTATATTAGTCAGTGCTTTCTTGGATTTGAGACAGAGTGTATATTCTTAGGAATATAAGAATTTCAGGTTGTAGGTTTTGCCTGGAACTTTTTATGCTTTTCATTATTATGGGCAAATTGATTTTAGTGTTAGCTAAGTTTTTAGAGTTCAGTTAACTTACTTGTAAAATGGGACTATTAACCTTTAAAAAAAAAAAAAAAAAGGCCAACAAGAACCAGAGCAGTTTCTAGCTCTACACGAGGTAACATTGCTCCACTTTCTTACGAGATCAGCATGTGCTTGCTTGGGTGTCTTGGGTGAATGCATGTGCATGCGTGGGTAGTGTGTGTGTGTGTGTGTGTGTGTGTGTGTGTGTGTGTGTTTTGGGTGGAATGGTAACTCATAATGTGCTGCAGCATCCAAGCTCATGAGTGTGCAAATTGTGGGGAGATCTAAATTGTGGTGTCTTTTTTCTCCCGCCTCAGCTATAACTTCTTCATGAATGGACGAAGAAAGAAGAGCTGCTGAGTCACAGAAAAACATGACACAGGTAGGTAAGAGCTAATAATTCTCCAAAAGAATATTCCCATTTCACCAGTTCATCAGTCTGATTGTTTAGGGCAGGGATCAGCAACCTGTTTCTTTGTTGGGTCACATAGTATGCTAGACTTTGAAGGCCTGAGTTACTGTTGGAACGCAACTCTGCCACTGTAGTGTGCTACCAGCCGTAGACATCATATAAACACGTTTGATTCTGTTCCAATAAAATTTTACTTGCACAAACAGGTGGTAGGCTGGATTTAGCCCTGACCTAGAGCCTGAGAAAATATGGCCAGCTGTGGGCCTGGGTTGAAAAGTTGTGCTTCTTGGCCTCTCGGGTTTATGAAAATAAAGGAAAGCTCCCTCTCTCTCAGTGCGTTTTTATTAATTAAAACCTCATCCAGATTTGACCCTTCGTTTCATGTTGTGCTGATTGCTCTAGTGGGAGAGAAGGAAGCAGGTGAAATTGTTTCTCACCTAACATTATTGATAGGTTCTGCGATTTAAAACAAAACAACAGATATGGAAACCAGTTTCACCATAGATTGGTTTAGATGAGTTAAGTTCTCACAGCATCTCCTCATCATTATATCAAAATGAAGTCATTCAAGGACCTGCTGTATTTAATTTTTAGACCAGTTATCTCATTTTTGCTGTTTGTCCTGGGCTGTTCTGGATCATTATAAGATTGGAATTGTTTACCATTGAACCATGGAGAGATAAATTGAGTGTTTTAGAAGTTTCATTCAGTCTGGGAGACAGGATTTGATCGGTCAGGAAGGATGTGTGGGGAGAAAGATCTGATGGCTGAGTCCAGGGGTCGATGTTAGGAGACCATAAAATCTTTAGAACTTCCCATGACGGGTTCTCAGCTCCTTTATCCTGTATTGTCAGCGTCATCATCCTCTTGAACACATTTGGGGAGTTGATACCTTCTGATCAGAGAATGTGGGGTGTTTCAGGACTCAGTGGTCTTTGAGGATGTTGCCGTGGACTTCAGCCAGGAGGAGTGGGCTTTGCTGGATCATGCTCAGAGGAGCCTGTACAGAGAGGTGATGCTGGAGAACTTCCGGAATCTGGCCTCGCTCGGTAAGAATAGCAGCATTCCTTTATTTAGATGTTTAGAAAACAAATCTGACAACTCAACCTTATTTCTTATGCGAGGATTTGGGATGAAGAATTGCAACTGATTGGTGAATAAGATAGACCTGGTCACTGACCCCAAGGAACCTGTAGTCTAGGGGCTTCACCATGAAAAGAAACATCTGTGTGTTGAACTGACTTTTTATTGTGGTTGAAAGTGTGGGCATACCTAACTGGTTTGGCTCAGTGGATAGAGCATTGGTCTGTGGACTAAAGGGTCCTGGGTTCGATTCCAGTCAAAGGCACATGTTCAGAGGGTGGTATGCTGGAGGAAACTAATCTATGATTCTCTCTCATCATTGATGTTTCTATCACTCTCCCTCTCCCTTCTGAAATCAATATATATATATTTGAGGGGTCTCTTAGGTACCCAGGGAGTTTTTGGTTTGGGACCTTTTGAGAATTTGCTGCCATCAATGCCCTTTACTAAAAGACCGCCGGCAACATATCTAACATTAAACAAGTTGGGTTAATTACTCAGTGCTTCAAGGGAGAACACATAACATAGGGAGCTGTGGGGTGTCACAGTAAGAGGGCATTAGAAAATACATATTACAGGATTTGAACTTTGGTTGAGTGATTTGGGGAGGGGTCTATGCAAGTAGGCTGTATTAGTTTACTGGGCCTTTTGTAACAAAATACTACAAACTCGATGACTAAAAACAAAAGAAACCCGTTCTTTCACATTTCTGAATCTGGAGGTCCAAAATCAAGGTGTCAGCAGGGCCTTGCCCCTTCTGAAAGCTCTCTGGACAAATTCCTGCCTGTTTCTTCTTGGCTTTTGGTGGTGGCCAGAAATAAGTCCTTGGTATTCTTTTTTTTTAAAATATATTTTATTGATTTTTTACAGAGAGGAAGGGAGAGAGATAGAGAGCCAGAAATGTCGATGAGAGAGAAACATCAACCAGCTGCCTCCTGCACACCCTCCCACCGGGGATGTGCCCGCAACCAATGTACATGCCCTTGACCGGAATCGAACCCGGGACCCTTCAGTCCGCAGACTGACGTTCTACCACTGAGCCAAACCAGTTTCGGCAATCCTTGGTATTCTTGACTTGCAGATACATTGCTCTGATCTCTGCCTCCATCTTCTCTCTGTCTCTAAGTCTCTCCCTCTGTATAAGGTCACTAGTTATTGGATTTAGGGCCCACCCTACTCCAGTATAACTTCACCTTAATGTGATTATATCTGCAATGACCCTAGTTCCAAATAAGGAAGTATTCTGAGGTTCTATACACGAGTTAAAAAAACAACAACAACAACACAAAACCACCCACAAACATTTATTTATTTTTAGAGCAGTTTTAGGTTCACAGAAAAATTGAACAGATGTTATAGCGATTTCCCATATGCCCCTATACCCTTACACATGCACAGCCTTCCCTGCTACCAATATCCCCCATCAGAGTGGGTTAGTTGTTACAATTGATGAACCTGCATTGACATATCCTCAGCACCTGAGTCCATAGTTTACATCAGGCTTTACTCTTGGTGGTGTACCTTCTATGGTTTGGACAAATATATGATGACATACCCACTGTCATAATATCATGCAGAGTAGTTTTACTCTCCTAAATCCTCTGTGCCTGGTCAATTCATCCCTCCTTCCCTTTTAACCCCTGCCAAGTATGGATGTTTTTACTACGTCCATAGTTTTCTCTTTTTGAGAATGTCATGTATTTGGAATTATATGATATACGTGTATATAGCCTTTTCACATTGGCTTTTTTCAGTTAGTAACATGCATTTAAAGTTCTTTTATGTCTTGACAGTTCATTTCTTCTTAGCACTGAATATAATATTCCATTGTCTTGGTGTACCATCATCTATTTATCCATTCACTTTTGGCAGTTATGAATAAAGCTTCTGTAAATTTGTGTGTGCAAGTTTTGTTTGGACATGTTTTCAACTCATTTGGGTAAATTTAAAGAGCAGGATTGTCTGATCTATGGGAATATTTCGTTTAGTTTTATTAAAAAAAACCACACCATCCTGTCTTCCAAGGTGGCTGCACCATATTGCATTCCCACCAGCAATGAATGAGAATTCTTGATGTTCCACATCCTAACCAGCATTTTGTGTTGTCAGTGTTTCAGATTTTGGCCATTCTCATAGATGTATGGTAGTATCTTATTGCTTTTTTTTTTTTTTTTCTTTCTTCCTCTTGTTTTTAAAAGAAGATATTTTTATTGATTTCAGAGAGTAAGGAAGAGGGAGAGAGAGAAACAGAAGCATCAATGATGAGAGAGAATCATTGATCGACTGCCTCCTATACGCCCCCTACTGGAGATCGAGCCTGTAATCTGGGCATATGCCCTTATCAATTCTTCCTTTTGTAGATGATGCCTTTGGTGTTGTAACTAGCAAGTTATTACCAAGCCCTAGGCCATCTAGATTTTTCTCCTATTATTTTTTTAAAGAGTTTTATAGTTTTACATTTTAAATTTAGGTCTGTAATCAATTTCTGTGAAGAGTATAAGGTTTGTGTCTGGATTAATTTTTTTTGATATTTATATCTAGTTCTTGTCTGGTAAAAAGACTATTTTTTTCTCCATTGTATTGCCTTTGCTCCTCTTAAAAAAAATCAGTTGACTATTTTTATGGGCCTATTTCTGAACTCTATTCTATTTCATGAATCTATTTAGACATGGATTAAAAATAATTTTTGGGGGGTTAATTTTCACATGAGGATATTTTTTTCATTGCTTTTTTTCAGAGAGTAGAAGGATGGAAAGAAGTGGGAGAGAGATAGAGAAGGGGAAAGTTAGATAGATAGATAGATAGATAGATAGATAGATAGATAGAAAGAGAGACACATTGGTTGCCTCCCATATGGGGTGGGGAGTGAACCTGAAGCCCAGTTACGTGCCCTTGACCAGGATTTGAATCCATAACCCCTTGGTGCATGGGCCAATGCTCCAACTGCTGAGCCACACCTGCCATGGATTTTGGGTGAACACTGTTTAACCAACTTGGATTAACTCACTTGGGTAGATTGGATGCTAATAGAAAGTGGGGAAAATTCTATTATTGGGTATTTTGTGGGTGGCACAGTGTCTATCCTTAGACTAAATCTTTGCCTGTCCTTAGACTAAATTTTGAAATGGTCTCATTTCATTTTATAATGATATTAGCGTAACCTTGTCTAAGATTGGTATTCTGTGAGATATTTGTGCTCAGCAGGAGAACAAAATGTCCTGGTTGTAAGTAGCAGACCAATTTCTAGTTATACTGAGGATTAGATATGAAAGATCAGTTCTAGACATCAAAGTCTATGTCACAACCCTTCCTCCCCTTAAAAATCTTTGGACATAAATTTTGTTGTAATTAAATTCACACTTGCCCCATCTTTATAGTATCAGAAGAATGAAGTTTTGCCTTGTCTCATGGAAATGTTTATGGTTCCTCATTGTTTTCTTTCATGTGATATGCCTTTCTGCATTAATAGGGCATCCACTGCAAACACCCTGTCTGATCTCCCAATGGAAACAAGAGGAGGACCTGGAGATATCAAAGAGAGAGACTATCCATAGGGAGCACCAGGAAGGCAAGAATTCTTGTGAGAAATTGTCCTGGTTGGGGGGATATTACATTTGGAAATATAAAATAAAAACAAAATGAAACTTTTGCCTGAGAGGCAAATTTTACACAGACACCATTGATTACTGTTATGACTTTTTATTAGTCCTCTTACACTTTTTTTGTTTTTGGAAAAGACTTTCCTCTTTGTAAGTTAGTATTTGGTCATGTAAATTTTATCCAGTTTCTTTTTGTTTTATTCTCCTAATAATATTCATGTTACCATCAGTCTCACTCTTCATGGAATTATTTTTTAGTAGGTTGTTTATCATATTGACCCTGTGCTTATAACAAAAGTCTTGAAACAGCCATAGTATCAAAGTCTTGAAATAGACATAGTGCCAAAAGCCCTTTGCTCATATGGACCTTTAACTTTTGTTTCAGATTTGAAGACTCAATTTAAAAGTAATAAATCAGTCACTTCACAAGACATTTATGAAGAAAAATCATCCAATCAACAGAGAATAGAAAGATTCAAAAAAGATGATTTCTGGTCATCTATTTTATACAAAAACTGGGAATACCATTGCATTGATTATAAAAACAAAAACCCCAAAAGACTTTTGAGGTGAGTGTCATTCATATAAAAGAAAGTAGTACCTCAGAAGAGAATCTTAAAATGTCATGAAATTTAAAAAACATGTACATAAAACTTGATCAAAAATTGTTATTTCATAAAGAATTTTCATAAGATATTCCCCCACCCTATAAATGAGACAGGACTTCAATGTTTGATAGTTGTAAGCAATTATGAGAAAAATCTGATTAATAAAAATTCAGTGATAAATATTGGCTATTGTAGAGCCCTTTTGGAGAACTTTCAGCTTATAACTTGACAGGGCAAAAACATGCATAATTAACTGAAAATGGTAAAAATGTATTTATTACTAACAATGTGCTTTTTATTTTTGAAAGAAGTAATGTGGTGGAGGACATCTATGAATGTAATGAAGAAAATCAGTGTGGACAAACCTTCTGCCAAATTTCAAATCTTAATATGCCCAAAAGAACTACTGAGATAAAATCCTATGAATGCCATGAATGTAAAAAGGTCTTCACGGATCATTTATCCCTTAAGAATCACATCGGCTCTCACACTGGAAGCAAACCCTATCAGTGTAAGGAATGTGGGAAAGCTTTCCATTTTCTCGCTTGTTTCAAGAAGCATATGAAAAATCCGACAGAAGAGAAACCCTATGAATGTAAGGAGTGTACCAAAGCCTTCGGCTGTTCTTCATTCTTCAGGGCACATATGAAGATTCACATGGGAAAGACAAACTATGAATGCGAGGAATGTGGAAAACACTTTAGCTGTTCTTCATCCCTCACAGAACACAAAAGAATCCATAGTGGAGATAAGCCTTATGAATGTAAGGAATGTGGGAAGGCTTTTAGTTGCTCCTCCTCACTCTCCAAACACAAAAGAATCCATAGTGGTGATAAGCCTTATGAATGTAAGGAATGTGGGAAGGCCTTTAGTTCTTCCTCTCACCTTATAATACATATAAGAATTCATACTGGAGAGAAGCCTTACGAATGTAAAGAGTGTGGAAAGGCCTTTAGCGAGTCCTCAAAACTCACTGTACACGTCCGAACACATACAGGAGAGAAACCCTATAAATGTAAGGAATGTGGGAAGGCCTACAATTGTCCCTCCTCCTTAAGTATCCATATGAGAAAACATACTGGAGAGAAACCCTATGAATGTCTGGAATGTGGAAAAGCCTTCTATCTTTTAACTTCCCTTAATACACATGTGAAAAATCAAAGTAGAGAGAAACCGTATGAGTGTAAGGAATGTGGAAAAGCCTTTAGTTGTCCCTCCTCCTTTAGAGCACATGTGAGAGATCATATTGGAAAGATACAATATGAATGTAAGGAATGTGGGAAGGCCTTTAGTCGTTCCTCATCCCTCACTGAACACTTGAGAACTCACAGTGGAGAGAAGCCTTATGAATGTAAAGAATGTGGGAAAGCCTTTATTAGTTCCTCCCACCTTACAGTACATGTAAGAACTCACACTGGAGAGAAACCTTATGAATGTAAAAAATGTGGAAAAGCCTTTATTTATCCTTCAGCTCTTAGGATTCATATGAGAACGCACACTGGGGAGAAACCCTATGAATGTAAGGAATGTGGGAAAACCTTTCGTCATTCTTCATACCTAACTGTTCATGCCAGAATGCACACTGGAGAGAAACCGTTTGAGTGTCTAGAATGTGGGAAAGCCTTTAGTTGTCCCTCATCCTTTCGAAGACATGTAAGAAGCCACACTGGAGAGAAACCATATGAATGTAAAGAATGTGGGAAAGCCTTTGTCTGCCCTGCCTACTTTCGAAGACATGTAAAAACTCACACTAGAGAAAACATATAAATGTAAGCCGTATGGGAATGTCTGCAAAGCTTTTGAAATCTTAGGCAACATATGAGATCTCACACTGTAGAAACCTTCTCTAAGAAAAAAAAATTATTGCTCATATTTATGAAGACTTGAGAATTTACACCTGAATGAAAACCTTTGTAAACCATGTGGTAATGCCTTCATGAATATCACATTTTATTGGTTAAAATTCATAAGAAGTCTACAAGAAAATTCATACTAGAATCAAAGATCAGTGGCTTACCCTTAAAGTGGAATATAGCTCACTGATTTCTGTTTTTTAATTAAATTTTTTAAAAATTTATTTATTGATTTTAGAGACAGGAACAGAGAAATATGGATTTGAGAAGAAGAGAAAGAGAGAAAGAGAGTTCAATTTGTTTTATTTATTTATGTATCCATTTTTTGATTCTTGTAGATACCTTGACTGGGGATTGGACCCACAACTTTGAGGTATCAGGACAGAGAAAGAAAGAGAGATCAATTTGTTCTATTTATTTCTGTATCCATTATTTGATTCTTGTAGGTAGCCTGACTGGGGATTGAACTCACAACCTTGAGGTATCAGGACAATGTTCTAACCAGCTGAGCTACCTGGCCAGGGTTCTGATTTTAATTTTCTGATATGAATATTTAGGGTGATAAATTTCCTTCCAATACCTTTTAGCTCTAATATGTTTTATTCTGAGTTGCCTTTATTTTGATTCAGATGTAAATATTTTCATTACTAAGTCTATTTTTTCACATGCAGACAACAGTGATCCTTTTTAAAAAAAATTAGTTTCTGATAAACTATCATTGTTCTGTAAGTGTGCAGTGATTATGGTATGTGCTCTTGTATTTCTAATTTCTTTTATAACTTTCTTTTGTAATTAGTAGTTTCATTTTGATCTAGTACAACAGATACTGGAGATTGCCTTCTCAATATTTTCCCCCTTTTTACTAAAAAAACTACTGTTTGTGAAGTTATTAGTTCAAAGGTTTTTCTGTCTCATAAGTAATTTCAGCATAAATTAATAAGTGTGAAGGTCTTGAAAGAAATGTCTCATCTGATATGTAGTTTTTGTATTTTGTTCTTTGTCCTTGCTCATGACTGGAAATCGGACCCACTGTTTCCAGAGTAAAAAAGATCTTGTGAGAAGAAAGCTCGAATCAAAGCTGGTTGGGTTGGTTTCTGTGTGTTAATTTGGGCATGGCTGGGAGTTCATCTCCCAGAATCACTTCCTTATGCAGTTTCAGGTTAGAGTTGTCTAAACTAGTTTGTTTAAGAATTAGAAAGCAGAGGATAGAATCTCTTATTTTCAGTTTAGTGGGACCATGAGAAAGGGAGATAGATGCATAGGTGCCTGTGGGCTCCAGTTTCCAGTCATTTTCCTAATTATTGGTCTTACTAACCAATATTGGTTCAAATGGAATAGTGAGTACTTAAGTTACCTAACAAGCAGCAGTTCCATGAACATCTCTGTAAATTTCACTATCATGGCCGTACACAGCCTCTTAGATTTTGCGGCAAGTTTTAGCATTATCATTTTGCTTATTTATTACCATCCTCTGGCACATCAACTTATTATATAGAGGTGGCCCCAGTTTGGAGCAGCACTGTTATCTCTGTAGTCCAGTCCCATTAGGTCACTCTGCCTGCCCAAAGGGAAATATTCATGTATGTAAGTTGATTGTGATCTCAAAACAAGAAGACCAACCACAATTTTGGCTTTTATTACAATTTATTAGGATTGCTTGTTCTTGATCTTTATATATATGTTAAAATACAATTATGTACAGTTATGTGTTTGGCTTTTCTCAACATAATGTCTCTTTGCCTTCTAATTGTTCTTTTGGCAGACTTACACTTATTTCTCTTAGTATCTTCTTTGTACGTGAGGTGTCATAAATCTAAGGGTAGACTTCATGTTTAGTTTAGTAGATATTATTCTTTTTCAAACATGTTATAAAATTAATGCATTCAAATTCTAATTGTTCCAAATATCTGGCCAGCACTTTCTAATTTTAGCCATTGAGTGGAAGTTGTGGTAATATTTTTTTTTCTTTCTTTTTAAAATTGTTGACAATATTACAGATGTCTTCCATCCCCACCACCTGCCCCCATTTTCCCATTTTCATCCAGCCCCCACCTCTCCCTCTGGCCATCACCACACTGTTGTCTGTGTTCATGGGTTATACACATATGTTCTCTCATCCAGTCCCCCTCTCTATTCCCTCTGACAGGTGTCAGTTTGTTCCATGTATTTATGCTTCTGGTTCTATTTTGTTCACCAATTTACTGTGTTCATTAGATTCCACATATAAGTGAGGTCATATGGTATTTATCTTTCTCTCCGGCTTATTTGGCTTATTTCACTTAGCATAATAATCTCTAGGTCCATCCATGCTATTGCAAAAGGTAAGAGTTTTCTCTTTTTTACAGCTACATAGTATTCCACTGTGTAAGTGTAACAGCTTTTTAAGAAAAGAGTTTTAAAAATTAAGTTTTAGAGAGAGGAAAGGAGAGGAAAAAAAAAGAAAGAAGCATCAATGTGTGAGAGAAATACTGACCAACTGCCTCTTACACATGTCTCCCCCCATCCCTTTGCCATCAAGGATGGTGCCCACAACCTGGGCATGCGACCTGACCAGGAATGAACTGGCAACGCTTTGGTGCATGAGTTGATGTCCAATAAACTGAGCCAAATTGGTCAGGGATACCACAGTTTTTTTTATTTTATTATTTTTTTATTTTATTTTAAATCCACTCCTAATGGACACTTTCCAGATCTTGGCTATTGTACACAACATTGCTTTGAACATAGCAATATCCTTTCTGCTTGGTATTCTGAGATTCTTAAGATATATTCCCATAAGTGGGATCACTGGGTCAAAAGGCAGTTCTATTTGTAATTTTTTGAGGAAACTCTATGCTGTTTTCCACAGTGGCTGTAGCAGTCTGCATCCCACCAGCAGTGCATCAGGTTTCCCTTTTCTCCACATCCTCATCAGAACTAGTTGTTTGTTGATTGCTTGATGGCAGCCATTGTGGTTGGTGTGAGGTAATACCTCATTGTAGTTTTAATTTGCTTCTCTCTGAAGATTAAGGACTATGAGCATTTTTTCATGTCTATTGGTCATCTGTATGTCCTCTGGAGAAGTGTCCATTCAGATTCTTTGCCCATTTTTAAATCAGATTGTTTGTTTTCTTGGTGTTGAGTTGTATAAGTTCTTTATAGATATTGGAAAATAACCCTTTATCAGATGTATTACTAGCAAATATGGTCTACCATACAGTAGGTTTCCTTTTTGTTTTGTTGATAGTTTGTTTTGCTGTGCTGAAGCTTTTTAGTTTGATGTAGTCCCATGTGTTCTTTTGTTTCTCTTGTCCTAGGAGACGTATAGGAGAAAACACTGCTTTATGAGGTGTCTGAGATTTTACTGCCTATGTTCTAGGATTTTTATGGTTTTGTGATTTACTTTTAAGTTTTCTATCCACTTAGAATTTATTCTTGTGTATGGTATAAGTTGGTAGTCCAGTTTCTTTCTTTCTTTTATTTTTCTTTTGCATATACCTATCCAATTTTTCCAGCACCATTTACGGGAGAGACTGTCTTTATTCCATTGTTTGTTCTTGCCTCCCTTGTCAAATATGAATTAACCATAGAGATGTGGGTTGATTTATGGGCTCTGTTCTGTTCCATTGATCTGTGTGCCTGTTCTTGTGCCAGTACAAGGCTATTTTGATGATAGTGACCCTGTAGTATAGTTTAATATCTGGTGCTATGACCCTTCCAGTTTTATTCTTTCTTAAGAATGCTGATGCTATTTGGGGCCTTTTTTGGTTCCACGTAAATTTTTGAAATATTTGTCCTAGGTCTGTGAAATATACATTGGTATTTTAATAGAAATTGCATTGAATGTACAGATTGCTTTGGTAGTACGGACATTTTAATGATGTTAATTCTTCCACTCCATGTACAGGTGTTTTTTTCTCCTTGGTAAGTCTATTTCTGGGTACTTTATGTTTTTTGTTGCAATATAAAATGGAATTGTTTTCTTAGTTTCTCATTCTGATAGTTCATTATCTATAATAATAAAAGGATGTCATTCCGAATGTAGCTGGGGCTTGGAGTGAAGCCCAGGACCTGGGTGCCTGCCAGCAGCTGAAGGGAAGCCGCCTGAGTCCCAGGTGCTGCAGGGAAGCCTGTGCCAGTAGCCGGGGGAAGGAAGGCCTACACTTGCATGAATTTTCATGCATCTGGCTTCTAGTTGTTGGAAAATGCTACTGAAACCTGGCCAGGTGGCTCAGTTGGTTGGAGCATCGTCCCACATACCAGAAGATATGTTTTCAATTTTTGTTCAGGGCACATGCCTAGGTTGTGGGTTCAATCCTCCTTTCGGGCACATATGGTAGGCAACTGATTAATGTTTCTCTCATATTGATATTTCTCTTCCCTTTCTCTCTAAAATCAATAAATCATTGGGTGAAGATTAACATAAAATAAAAATGCTGCCACTTTCTGAATATTAATTTTGTATCCTGCTACTTTGTTGCATTCATTTATTAGATTTGGTAGTTTTTTTGGTGGGAACTTTAAGGTTTTCTATGTACACTCTGATGTCATCTGCGAATAATGACAGTTTTACTTCCTCCTTTCCAATTGGCTGTCTTCTTGTCTGATCGTGGTGTCTAGCACTTCTAATACTATGTTGAACATGAGTGGTAAAAGCAGACATCCCTGTCTTCTTCCTGATCTTATGGGGAATGCTTTTAGATTTTGCCCACTCAGTATGATGGCTGTAGGTTTTTCATATATGGCATTTACTATGTTGAAGTATGGTTCCTCTGTGCTGGTTTTTTGTTTTGGTTGTAATTTGTATTTACTTAACATGTAATTATATTAAATACTTTTTTATGTGCTATTGGCTCTTTGAATATCTTTAATGAGGGCATCTGTTGAAGCATTTACCCATTTTTTTCTATTTGAAGGTTTTTTTCTGGTTACTTG